CTTCTCGCGTTGCCAATCGTTTGTCAATCCGGAAGTTCCAAAACGTCGTTCACTGATTGTTCAAATGACTCTCGCGATTCTTCAGGTGGACAGTCCCTTTGTTTAACGTGAAGAAATCGAGAGGCGGTGCTATATCCCAAAATTTCCATGTTTAGATTCCGGAGCAGTTGCTTCGGACCCTGAACTGAACTGAGGATTTATCTTCTCGTGGAAGCTGTAGTGCAAACGCGCGGTCATATTAGCACAAGTTTTCTTCCTTAAACTACTGGTCGTCATGACTATGAGGTTTTGGGTCGAGTTTTCCCTATTCGCCTTCTTAAACTGGATATCTCTGTGTCGATAGTGAGAAATTCCGTGTGCACACAAGCTGTCAGTAAAGGATGTGAATATTGGTGACTACTATTCTTAAAACAGAGTCAGGACAATTGGGAAACGGCATTTTTCGGGTTTATCAAACAGGAAGAGCAATGCGCTCCCCGCAGAAATTGTTACAACCTGGAAAGCTGTTGGTAGTGAAGTTGGCTTTATTTAGCTTCACCATAAAATCAGTGTTAAATATTGATTATCATTTGCCTTGCAAAAATGTATCACAAAGCAAAACTAGCCCAGGGACCTTCTAATATAGGACTGACCTGACAATCACATAGGCTACAAAGATGTGCTAGATGTTGACAGTTGTGGTAAATTCGAGTGGAATTAAATTACAGGCTTTGAACCAATGCCTAATGAAAGCAACCGTCAGAGATCCTCAATCGCTATTTGGTTCCGAGTGAGGATGCAGGAGTGCGACAAATTTATTAAATAGTTACTCACCACGAGAAAACCCAAAATATGGAACTGTCTGTTGAATAGTGGTTTCTAAAGAAAGACTTTGATGTCGTCAGGTGTAAACGATGTTGACAACGAACATAGATGTTTCTGAACATAACGGAACACATGATTATAACTATAGTGTTGATTTGCATAACTGTCTTACAGTGAAAACAACGGTCCAGTGGATGGGGTAATTTTAGGTATTTGAATGAATTGTGTTTCCACTCGTCATGTGGAATCAGTTAATTACAGATGACTATTGCACAGTTCACAGTTCACAGGTTAAGTTTCAGTTCATGATGACAATATGGAAATCGGTATTCAAAATACATGATGACAGTAAGTTACAATCCATAGGGTGATTCACACGCAAGAAAGAAGCACTGTGTACCAGGTCGACTTGACAGAACCTTTGGGATGAATCCCGGCGTTATTTTACCACACTTACCTCCATCAACCCACTTCAAACGAAACCGTCAAATCCGAGCAGTGTGGTTTATTTGTACATGAAGGTAAATTCAGGGAATCCTCTAATATTGTTCTGTTCAATCGGCTAGATAGATATTCGACAGGGCATACAGACAAGTTATTTACATAGCACCGAATGTCTAGCTGTATTCCCTGACGAACACGAGTGGGGTTTGGGATCACATAGCCACAGAGAGTAGGCCTGGCAAATACTGATCACTCACTTGAGGAGCCAGTATGAAGCTGATACAGTTTCTCTTCGATAAAATATCTAAACAATGGAAACGCCTTTTTCATTCGTGTTGTAATGGTAGCCAATCGACAAGTGGTCCATCCTGCCTGGGATGGCTACATGAGGTATTGCTCTCCCCAAGGCTTTTCTACCAATTAGCAAACCACTCAACCAGTAATCGTGAATGAGTTTCAGAAAACAGCAGAGGTATTCCGTAAAGAAAATTGAATGGATTCGTATCTTCCCTGACGATACGATGCTCTTTTTCTTTTGGGAAGATGATGGTTATGGTAAGGGTAAGTCGGATTGGTGCATCTTCAGTTGTTCATCAACGTCAAACATCAGAAAACCTCGAGATACCAAAATAAGGGGTTTGCCAATGGGCGGTTTCCGTAGACAGCAGCCTGGTGTCCAAAAACTTAGAAACTGTGCGTGCACAGCGACATGTTTGACTAAATCGAGTTCGCGATCAATAGTGTTCACCAGCTGACGACCGCCTCTAAAAATAAGACAAACTACTTCTCGTTAACCGAGATAGTGTGGACGCCAAGTTGTTTTGACCCCATACTGAAGTCAGACTCATCCACATTGGGAAGCTTTCATAAAAGGGCATAAATTTTGGGTTAAATAAGGGAGTTCACCCCCCCCCCTGTGCTACGCTTATCCATCTCGGCTTGACAGCCGATTATATACTCTTTTAAATGCGCATAACTGATTAGTTCAGTTATACAACAACTGGCAATCTAACTTGCCTTATGTTTCACGAAAGAAAATGGGTTGAGGTTGGACCGGGAGGACGGAGCTAGTTCAGATTGTTTAGGAAGTAGCAACATCCAAGTCTGAGAAATTAACACGCAACACTCAGCTGGAATCTGATAAAATGAGGATTCAAACAAATGAACAAAAAATTAACTTTACGGTGCATAGCCACGGATGCACATTTTCGAAACCGGAAGTACACTACAAATATGGACGTTCTCAATGGTGTTGCTCTATCCGGAGTGCAACTGCCGCCAAGTATTACTGAAGATGAAATACATCCAGCATTGATAATCAAAAGAGAATATGGCGAGCCCAAAAACTCTTCTGTAAATCAGCCAGCCTAACATTTGTTTATGCTACTGTTCAAATGGGAAACGAAACAGGTAACGGGCCTTCCAAAATTCTTCATCAAACTCATAAGTAATATCACACCATGAAAAATAATCCCTTAGCTTGAATACTGTTTCGGCTAAAACTTGGAGCGACCTTTGTGCGAGACATTCATTTGAAGAATATCACAAACCAGATATCCAGTTTAGTAAAATCTCACAACCACCTTACTTTGCGGATGAGTTGGTCGCACATACGCCTAGAACAGATTGGTCTCATAGATGCTCTTACCTTGCTGCACGCATCTAGCGCTCAGATGGCTGAGTGGCAGCACGCCTGCGAAGAGTAGTTTTCAGTCTGTTCAGCATCACTACACAAGGAACACATAACCCGGTAAATTTACCTGCGCTCTGCCATCGCAATACAGCACTGATGAGTAATGCTCCGTTCAAGATTGCAATTAGTCACAGCGAGGCGCTTGTGAATGGTGCACAGTTAGGCTTTGCAGACACGACTCTGTGACAAGTTCACACTGCTCCTTGCCGTCTAAGACTGAAGAAACTAAGCAAATTCCATACCAAATACATTGCAATACATAATTAAGCGCTGGCTCACACAGCACCAACCCCACTAATCGGTCTATTCTTCACCGATCCCCAAAGCTGTCGTTGCAGACGGGTTCACTATACACCATCGCGAATATCCGCAACGTCACAGGATAGTATTTAAATCTGGGTTGAGATGTTCCTGAGAGTTTAATGCCAAAATGTTTTTGCCAGGCTGACAAATGGCTTTAATTTGATTGTGAAACGGATGGAGCCACACCAAAATACCACCTGCATCAGTTGTGAGCAACACACCGGTTTACTGCGACCCACCACAGGAACAGAGTTCCAAGTAGCTGTGCGAATCCCCTATCTTGCTTTTGCTGTGCTTAGTTAATGGGCGACTACACTCTTGTTGACAATGACTTACGGCAATTTCGACTCCGTATTCCCGTCTAAACACCACCCTTATTAAATGAACATTCATTATTATAAATGGCACACCAACCTCCGCAACTCTTACCCTCTTCGAAGCAGTCACGTTCAGCCGGCCCACCATCGTTCGCCAGGGATCTTATCTGCGAGGTGCCCGTCCTCAAGCACAAGTACAAAGTGCGGTTTGTGGCTCGAGTGGTTCAACAAGCATATCGGGGGCACAAAATTTGCTGTGAAGATTACTGCGGCAGAGTAGCACTTGATTTGTATTTCGAAAATAAAGATCGCCAATGCGTGAAATTTAACGTTGTCCACCAGAATTTAGAACCAAGTCCCAAGTAGGGAATCCTGAAAAAATCAGTCTCATGAAATGCCAGACGAAATATGCTTGTTTTGACAGATTTTCCTTTGTGCCCACCCAGTTTATGGTAGCCAGTAAATTTTTTTCAAAATCCAACAAACGACACAAGATTATGACCGTTTACATCGCCAGTTCTGACAGGCATTAAACTCTTAACAACATAATTCGTTACTACTGTGAATCATGATTCATTATCCCTAAAAGTGACAATACCCTAGCTGCGATGGCATGTGCTTCAGAGCCGAACTAGCGGACCACCAAGCACGGACGAAAGACCTGATTACACCGCAGTCTTATGAGCTGACCATTATCATGATCCCTCTCGTCAGCAGAATTTCTTGGGACCCCGTGAAGTGCATGTCATGTTTGACAAACTCGAGATGACTCGATCAGGAAAGGTCTTGTTCACCAAACTGTGAGTAATGGTTACATAGGAATATACTAAGAAACCAGTAAGCATTGAGGAGATAGGCTACCTGATTCAATGCGGCACTAGTATTCTAAAGCTGACCAAGCAATGTTGAGTTGCAGAACACAAGGGCGTATATATTTTTAAAATTTATCAGCTGCATTAAAACTACTCGCCCACCGTAGGTAGTTTGAAGCCCACAAACTTTGAAATCCTATTGCTGAGTAATACCGGGACAACCTGCCGTGCGGGGGTCAAATCTAGCAGACCGAGAGACTAACCTAGAGGCATTTCATGAGGCCCCTGGTTGGAGCCATCGGTGACAGACGATTCAACTAAGCCAGTTTCAAATCACAATCTCACGAAGTGAACAGTCCGGATTGCGATAGCTGCATTCCAGCTAAACGAGAAGCCGAAACTGTGGAGGGCACATATGGTACTTCTCCTACCTCGCTGAAGCTTCGTCTGGATTTTAGCCATAGGTGTAGTATATAAGGTAGATGGATTCTGAGCTGTTGTATCCACAGACTGGTATCGTGGTCAAACTCCGACTGACAGCATTAAGCTGAAAACACTTACAGAGGTATGTGAAACTACAGCCCTCCTCCGCCTATGTAAGGCTTCAAAAGAGCAGGTTTTTATGGAAAAGTAATATAATGTTAGTGGAGGAAAACAGCCTTTCTCCTGACGAAGTGCCAGTGCAAACGAGTAAATATACTTGAATCAGAGTTCGGGGTACTGGAAAAGAAGTAATATACAGCCAATTTACAGTGCAGTAGCCGCAGTTCACGGGGTCAACAGGTGCCCATGTAGTTTACACTTTTTGACGGATCCGATGGATAAAACTTCTGGCATTGGGTCATGAGTCGCTTGATTGCCTGGATGTATTTTCGTTGGGTTTCGTCGTTTAGTACGTGAGCAACGTTCTTTGCGTGGATCTTTTCTTGTGCAGTACGAGAGTGAATGCCATGGTTCGTTACGCCGAGTGGCCACGGGGCATTGCCGATAGCCAACTCAAGGTAGGCGTCGTTGGCCTGTAAAATTTGAAGGAAAGTTACGGGAAGAGTGATGAGATGATTGACGATGGAATCAATGGACTGATTAAGAGTGCATGCTTTACTCCAGACTATTAAAGGTATTTCGTAGATGCGCACGTGGATGCAGCCGACAGAGTCAGTTGCTTATCCGTCAAGTGGGGTAGTCAGCACTTCAGATCCATAGAAAAAGAGCATCGAACACTGTGATAACATGTCTTGTCTAAGAGGCTGAAAATGAACTGGAAACGAATGGGCGGTGCTCGGTCAATGAAACGATCACAAACTATGAAAGGCTTGAACACACCACCTACAGAAATCGACAGATTTCCTCTACCGGGCTGGGACAAGACAATGGATAGAGACACCGACAAGACAAGCCAACCCGCCTATCCTAGAGAGCATCGCTTCCAGTTCCTATCACTAAAACCCAATTCCACAGCTCTTATTGTCTTCCACTCAAGGAGAATACTCAAAGGAAGTTGGAACGATTGAGCATCCAATGATGGTTCAGGTACCGCTGTTATAACGTCCTACGCCCCTTCACATCGATCCAGCGACGCAGACTATAGCGGCGGAGACGCGACGTTCGCAAACCTTTCTATTTATATGAAGCCATCCAATTAAAAAAAGCACGAGAAGGTTGACCACAGACAAGATACAACGGTAAAATTGATTAAGACCAACCGCTACCATCAACCGTTGTGGCTCTGACTACGAACGAGTGACTTTGGGGTCACCTATCTCAACTCCAGTAGCAGCCAGGAAAACAAAATATGCTATCAGGAAGATGTGGAGGCGAGATGGCTCAAGTGGTTAGAACGAGAATTTACTGACCGGAAGGTCCGTGGCTCGAACCCAACCACTGCTTCTCGACTTCCGCTGTCCAGGCTTGGGCAACCCGGCATTATCCCAGCCCTCATGCTTTTTTCGGGTGGCATGGCAGCTAGGCGGCAGAAGGGTGTTACAGCTGAACAATTTTATTATCAGGAAGATGTATTCCAGCGCAACCTATCGACGTACCGCACATGATTTCATCCAAAATTTAAGCTTCACTCCGCACTACTACTTCGATATTGCTCAGATGAAATGTTTCGTACGCGTCCCAATCTAAATCCATTGCCAAGCCATATGGTGAGATAGTGTGTTATCAGTGCTTATGAGGCCAAGCGTTTGATGTGATGGTAGACCAATGAATCTAGATATACGACGCGGGCCATTTTCAATGTGGTGATTCATCTCGGGTAGTCAAGAGAAGAAATCTTCTACAAACAAAATCGCCTTCTCCTCTTGGTTTCCAAAGTCGGAGTGGCGTATGTTCAGAGGATGCAAGTCACGCACTGTGAAACCCAGAAAATTCGTGAGCTGCTTCCACTTATACATTACGTGAATAACTACCTAATTCTCTCAATTCAGTACCAGGCTGTCAAAAAATGTAAGTGAAGGTCGACATCACGTGGTTTGATAGTGGTAATTCGCTAAGGTCACAAGGAATGCAAGCTTATCCTGACAAGCCTTTCGCTTTAAGTGAACGCTAATGAAAGTATAGGGCTAAGGACACAAGGTTTCCAAGTCTCATTCGGGAAATTTTTCAAATAGTTAGAGGACAAACGTAATGCAGCACCATCAGCCTTTCGCTTAAGTGAACGCTAATGAAAGTATAGGGCTAAGGACACAAGGTTTCCAAGTCTCATTCGGGAAATTTTTCAAATAGTTAGAGGACAAACGTAATGCAGCACCATCAAAATGTCATGAGTGAAACATGGTCATGCGAACATTAGAAAATGGAGAATCCTGTAGATGAAAAAGTGTGAGCAACAATACAGAGCCAAAACAGGCTCACTAACCAATTTAGTTAGGAATGGCTTCAAAAAGACAATCAAGTATGGTGGTATTTGGAACTCTGCTAAGGGTATATACCACCTTATCGAACTTGTTACTGCAACACACACCACTCCTATATGCACATGGAGTTGGGCAGAAATGAGCGACGAGGTACTTGAAACATGGATGGCAGATGGCCGATGCTGCTCTCCAGGGGAGGGAAACCATCCAATCTGTACAGACCTCACACCGAGCATCTGAGTTGGGATGTCCCTTGTTCCATAACTTCAAAGTCTCGTTCCAAAACATGCTTGGTCCACCATGTCTTTTCGGGTTTCATTCCACCTATTATTTTTCTCAGTGAAACAAACATGTCCGGCGGAGGTGAGCGAACACCTCTCCTATTTCTTGAGTACTCATTACACCACAGCTTTATCTTCGAGAAAGAGGTCTAGACTCACATTCTTTCTTTCTCTGCGCCTTTCCATTACCATCCCACGATTTACGTTCAACATATACTTTTCTTCAACTTTACCTCCTTTAAAATGAAAATAACACTTTTGTGGTGCAGATCAGTCCATCAGCCTAGACAACGCCACAGCTCCCCGTGAGGCAGAAACTTTTCCCACCACTAACTCTCTTTCCAAAGTCGTTCCAAACTCCGTGACGATGCTCTTAGACCACAGATCCTACCTTAACTACATAGCTCTCAAAATACTCAGTCTATACCTCCAGTCCGTCGGCACCTTTGACCAAGGCGTCATTAGCTTCTCCCATTTCACCTCCACTCTTCCGCTTCACACCGTCTCGCCGTGTTTCCTAGCGCTATTCGTCTGTGGACTGGAGCAGCACGTGATAACTGTTCAGTTGGATAGGTCATCAGAAAGAACCGGTACATGGATAAACCAATACCGAACTTCGACGGCTGCAGATCATACTGCGATCGGATTAAGAGGTTCAAATAGTGAAAAGGGAATGAGGTAACAGAAGGTTGATCAATCAATCTAACCGAAACAGTCGCAAGCACATGGTTACAGCAGTCGATCGAACATAATGAACATAACGAACACAATGAACGAACATAATGATCAAACACTAATGAAAGAACATCCTTGACACACAGACCGTTTCACCTGCGTCCAATTCCGGTGGGACAATGGTTCGTGGTTGCGAATTATATCCACAAAAAGGGTTTCCCAACTGAAAGTTGCCCATGGATCACTTAGATGATTTGCAGCTCGTAAACTAACACCAAATGCGATGACAAAACAAGAATGCTACCTTCAAAAATAGGCACGACAGATTCAAAAACAAGGAATATTAATCTGAAACCAATGTAATACAAGACTGCAGCACCTATGATAAAAGTTAGGGAGAGTGGAAAATAGTTTGTCCATGAAACCGTCACGAATTTACCTTCAGGTAGTTTCTGTCCATCATGAGCGTGATAATCTTCACCAAAGAATCCAGGATATCGTCACGACAACACTGAGAAGGGGAGGAAAAACGAAATGAACGAAGAAATGGTGTACACCACCATCTAGTGACCAAATCTAGTTCGAGTTCAAGCGTATTTTGCTTCTGACCAAAAGGCAAGTAGTACGGACCCGTTCCTAAAAGACTGCCACTATATTAATATGTACAACCTGCGACTACCTCAGCCATTTCGCTTCACTGGGCATTAAAATAACCACCCCTCCTCGACTGACTGCTTTAGACGAAATAAGAAAGATCCGTCACTTCATAGACCAATGATGTAAACTTACTCCTAAATTATGGGTTATGAATGCCACGAAGTCCAAAGCATCAAGATGCTCACAGTCACAGACAACTGCATTGTGAGTTGATACTGATAAGGACTAGTGTGCCTAAACACCATGGTACTGTTGCCGAACGGTGGCTGTATGTATGGAATCCGCAGTGGACTGAAGTTATTACTCGATCACCTAAATACCACCACCAATTAAGAGCTCACGCTTAAATAAACGCTGTTTCTGCGTCCTGTTTGAGAGCTGTAATCACTGGGTGACGTATGACAACGAACGGAGTGTGTTCCACTATTGACGAGTATTTTTTTCTCAACCGATACGGAGCATGCTCACACAGAAAGGTCTGATACGCACTGTTGTCCGTCCTGATTCCGCTACTAGAAAAGAGGGGCTTCGGATTTATTGAAACGTTTAAGCACTAAGCACAGACTGGTCATTACTACCTGAATTGTCATTGAAAAAAATGAAAACAGCACGATATGAAACTCTTCGGGTGGGGTAACTGTTCTAGAATCGATAGCCAAGCACCGAACGGGTACCGCGACCGGACGAACAGACTAAGTGTAGTCAGGCTATGGTATTTGTTTGACAGATAATTTACATGCAAGTGCGACTCAGTCGATTAGATGAGGTCACACTGAGTACGGATTGCCATGACTCCTAAGAAGTCCAAGCTGGTGAACACCGGATATCTTTGAAATAGGCCACTATATCGGGGTTCTGAGTCTCTCCGGAGTAGCAATCACATCTAATCAAGGAAACAAACACGGACTAGAAACTGGTAAACATACCCTGTGCTGCAGAGCACGAAGGAGTGGCTTGATGTAGTCCACAGTTTGTGTATAGGTAGCACTGCTAATTTTTCCAAGATACGAGAGCTTTTCTTCTTTAGATCGGGAGTTCAATATGTTGCCCCACTTTGATAGAAGAAACTGCAAGAAACAAAGTGGGACGAGGTAGAATAAATATAGCAGGAAAAAGCGAGCGGAAAGTTACGGGAAAATATCTACAAGCCAAACGAAATGAGGTACATCATTTAAGTCGTTTTCGGTACGTGGAATATACGAAATACACAGATGTGTGGCTCGAAATTCTTCAGTTAACCGGATGCAATATATTGTGGTTTCCCCAGCTGGGCGAGCAGATCAACTACCATTAGATAAAACAACAGAAATAAAGTGTCACTTATGGAGGCACACAAAAAAACGAGGAACTTTCAGTAAGCACTTACTGGTATAAGAAGACAACTTCGGGGGGGGGGATGTGTCCTCAGAGGAGATGGCAAATAAGGAGTGTCATCATTCCTTATTGAGGTAGTGAAAATGCACTATTAACTTCAAGTTTTAACAGTTTCCATAAAAATGGATAGCATTTTCTGTTCTTTGTAAAGTCATAAATTCAAGACTC